CCTTCCCCTTGGTTCTTGTACTCCATTCTAAGTTAACAAGAAGCTTTAAACTACTGTGACAAGAAAAACTGTATTTCAAGGCTGATAACAGCCAACCTAGGACAATGATTTTGTAGTTAGATAACAGTCAACTATTGTCCTAAGATTGATATCAGTCCTGAACTGATTGATATCAGTCCTGAGATTTTCTATTTGTACCTCTCTGAATGAATAACAAAGTCCTTTTGAGTATCAATCTCAAGAAAATGTACTTTATGAAGAAAAATGCCCAGAAAACTGATTGCTACCTTCAGTATTCAAACTTGATCAATTGATTACTGTCAGCACCTTAATCTTGATCAAAGGACCAAGAAAAAGCTGATCGGCACCTCCAATCTTGATCAACAATCGATCTTGATCACTCAATTCCTGCCTAATTCTTCTTGATTACAAGAAGCTCTCTCCAATCTTAGGACAGCTGCTAAAGCCTTCTTGCAACCTCCAAGAATCAGCCGAAGTAAGGATCTTTCTGAACTTTCAGCCCTAAACAATTCTCATGTGGTCGGCTGAATTAAATCACATGAGAAACCCTAGATCGAAGGCTCTGATACCAACTTGAAAGAAGAAGAAGGAGAACTGTTTACTGTATTAGAGAAGTAATACAGGTTCGAAGAGAAGAAACAGAGAGAGAGAGAGAGAGAGAGAGAGAGAAGAAGAGTGAAGAGAGGAGAAAAGAAAGAAGGGGTTCGGTGGTTAATGATCTGCCGCTCCATACACTTTATTTATAGCTTTAGGTTCCTTACAAGAATAGGAAATGAACAAAAATTAGAAACAATAAGGCCAGCCGGCTCAACTTAAAAGAAATTAGAAACTACTAGGTGTGGGTATGAAACCACACACACTAGAGCCTGAGTATGGCTATGGAACCCCACACTAGTGGCTAACCAACTATTTCTTCATTAACCTTGGAGACCTATTTGCCCTGTTAAAGTGTATTTCTACATAAGCTGAAATTGGGTTCTGATTGTTAATCACTTAGAGTGAGAGCTGTGAATTTCTCTTTGTGGGTGTGTATTGACTGAAATCATGAATGCTGAAGATTCTGCAACTTCGGGAACCACCATGAATCAAGGTGGAATGAGTAGTGGTCATGACTCCATGAATTTCCTAATGACTATTACCCCGTTGGATGGTAGAAATTACCTGGCATGGTCTAAGGAGTTGCGGATGTATATCACAGCCAAGGGTAAGGCAGGATATATTAATGGGAAAATAAAAGAACCTAGGGCTAGTACTGCCGAATACGATAAGTGGGACCAAGAAAATTGCATGATTATGTCATGGCTTTTGGCATCCATGTTACCATCCGTCAGACAGAATTTCATGTGGGCCAAGACAGCAAAAGAAATATGGGATCAAGCACAAGCAACTTATTCAGAGAAGAGGCATTATGCTAGAATTTACCAACTACAAGCAGAATCTTCGACATGTAAGTAGGGAGAAAGGAACTTATCGACCTATTATTCTACTCTCACTTCAGTTTGGAAAGAACTAGACTATTATCAGAACATTGATTGGGAAAGTGAAAAGGATGCTAAAGCATACAAAATGTTAGTTTCACAGCAAAGGGTGTTTGTTTTCCTTCTGGGTTTGAATCCCGTGTATGAACCTATTCGTGTTCAGATTTTGGGCAGCAAGGACCTTCCATCTGTCCAAGAGGTTTATGCACTTGTTCATTCTGAAGAAAGTAGGAAATCTGCCATGAACCCTCCTGAGGGGGAGACTATTGCTCTTGCTGTAAGGGGTAACATTGGGGCACCAAGAAGAGGGGAAAATCAAAAAAAGACAGATGATAAAGACAAATTGTGGTGTACTCATTGCCAAAAATCTAGGCACACCCATGAAACCTATTGGGAATTGAATGGGAAACCAAAATGGGCACAAGAATTGGGTAAAAATAGCAAGAAGCCATACCATGGGCTGGATCCTTCACCTCACCCAGGTACTGTTCTAGTTGATGTTCCTAAACCTATTGATATTGACACTTCAGGTTGTGATCTGAACCTTCCTATTGCAAAAAGGAAGGGTGTCAAATCATGCACCACACGCCACCCCACATCTCACTTCTTGTCCTATGAGAATGTTTCATCTTCTTTTCGTGCTTTTCTATCTGCCATTGATAGTATTCCCCTTCCAAGAGTGTTGTGGAGGCCTTACTTGTTCCTAAGTGACAAATGCAATGACAGAAGAGATCAATGCTCTTCAAAAGAATGGCACGTGGGAGCTAGTAGATCTTCCTAAGGGAAAGGAGCTTGTAGGGTGCAAATGGATGTTCTCTATAAAACATAAGGCAAATGGGTCTATGGAAAGGTATAAGGCTCGGCTAGTTGCAAAAGGCTTCACGCAGGTGCATGGACTTGTGGGCAAGCTTCTCAACCTATCCATGACCAAGCCTGACATTGCATATGTTGTGGGTGTCCTCAGTCAGTTCATGCATGCACCTAAGGAGGCACACCTTGAGACAACAGACAGAGTTCTTAGGTACTTGAAAAAGTTCCCAGGGACAAGTTTACTCTTTAAGAAGCATGGGCACATGAGAGTAGAGGTGTACAAAGATGCATATTGGGCCGGCTCAGTGGATGACAGAAAATCCACTAGTGGATATTGTGCCTTTGTTGGTGGAAACCTTGTGGCTTGGAGAAGCAAAAAACAGAGTGTGGTGGCTAGGTCAAGTGCAGAGTTACTGTGGATCAAAAATCTATTGAGTGAATTAGGATTTCCTTTTGATGATCCTATGTCACTCTACTGTAACAACAAAGCTGCCATCGACATTGTAGCCAACCCAGTTCTCCATAATAGAACCAAGCATATTGAGGTTGACAAGCATTTCATCAGAGAGAAAATTGGGAAGGGGCAAGTGTGCACTCCCTACATTAGTTCTGATGAACAACTTGCAGATGTTCTTACTAAAGGATTATGTTCACTACGGCATTATGATCTTTGTGACAAGTTGGGGATGATTGACATTTATGCCCCAACTTGAGGGGGAGTGATGTAATCTGTATAATAGGTTGTAGAGGGGCATTCTTGTCCTTCCCTTTCTTTTTATTATGTTTAGTCGCCCTACAATTTAAAATAAAAGAACTAGCGTCGCCAGGACTGATCTTTTTAGACTCTCATATCTTTTGTCTCTTCTTCTTCTCCTTCTTCTACTTCTTCTCCTTGCTGAAAACAAGGCGCAAGAAGAGCTTTTTAAACAAAGAAAGAAAGCCTATTTGCTCCTACTTTTGTAAGCTGGTCAAAGAAGAGGGGAAGAATGCTAAGGAGATGCACAAGGGCAGCAGTGTGTTGGACAATTTTGGAAGAGAGGAACCAAAGAATATTTCTTGAAAAAGAAAGAAACAGAGAAGTTGTCATTCCAGGCCATTACCATCAAGGTGGTTCATGGGTTAAGTCATTGGATCTCTTTAAGGATATTCCTGGCAATGAAGCAATGAGAAAGTGGAGAGAGGTAGTGAAGGCAATATGGGTTTGTCTGGCATAGGAGTCTTAAGGAATGAAGGAAATATAATTGCATTCTATTCAGGTCCAATTGGAATTGGGGATTCGCTAAGGGCTGAAGTTCTGGATGTTATGGAAGGAATTCAAAAGGCCAAAGAGCTGAATATCAGGAAGTTGCTCATTGAAGGTGATTCAAAACTTGTAATTAGCTGGCTCCCAAAAGAGGAGGATTCATGGTGGTGCTATATATATCACAATAGGAAAGCCATTAACTTACTACAAGAGTTAGAGGTTACTGGTAATTGAGTCAGAAGAGATGCAAATGCCTTCGCTGATACACTTGCTAAACAAGGGGTGGGAAGGAATACTTTACTACTTTTTTTTTTCTGTTGGGGAGGGCTAAGAGTGTTTATCCCCCCCCCCTTTCTTATTGCACTAAAGTTCTTCCTGATTAATGAATTTGTTTCTGTTATTGATCAAAAAAAGACCTTTTTAAAGGAAGGAGAGGAGGCATGGGTTAAGGGAGAAGGTGTGGAAGAGGATTTCGTTCGAGAGGAGAAATTTTGATGTTGGGATTTTCTCTCTCTCTTAGCTGATTCCTTATCATCTTCCCCTTGAAATCTCTTTTTATTTTTTGATGGATTTTAATATTATCAAAAAAAATTAAAACTCTTGCCAAACTCGTATAGTTATGGATAGTATAAAAGTGGGAGATATCTATTTTCTTCTTCTTTTGTTACTTTTTTGTGTTGTTAAATGGTACACCATTATCTTGTCGATACTTTCTTTGTCTAAAAGAGAACATCAATGTCATAGTTGTCAAGATGGCACCTAGGCAATAAGGCATATCATATCATATCATATAAGGTAAACAGGTTTAAAAAGGCAACATAAAAGACTAATATTCAACTTAGAGAACCGTAAAATGGGTTTTGTCCCTTTTCCTTTCATTTAAATCATATACAACCGCTTCTCTGCCTTGTGACCAAAATAATGGCTCTGGCACTCCACTTTTTTCTTTTTCTTTGCATTAATAGAACAGAGATTCATCTACTAGTTTTACATAGGCTATGTAATACTGTTTTAGTTCTACTCTTAATATGCTATTCTTTCATATTAGATCACTTTTAATGTTTTCAAGTTTTTACACCAACTAGAAAACAATCTAAATTACCATAATTTTTACATTAAAAAAAAAAAACAAAATCATCACCTAGGTGAAGTGTTCTGGCAACATGATTAATGACACTCAGTCCATGCATGACTTAAGAGTATCTTCTTGCAGCAGTGATGTCCAATTGTTCCATGGGGACATGGCAAAGTACCAAAATATGCAGGCATTTATTAGGGGAACCAGAACTTTGATTTACTTCCAACTGAAGTTTGTGCTCAAAGATACTATTTTGAAAGGCTAAATGTGTAGACAAATTGATTATACTACATTGCAATTACTAACTTCTATGTTTTTTCTTCATCCCATTAATTTTTATTCTGCTGATTCGTCTCCCTTTGTTTTGAAGATGTGCAGGGGCTGGGAATTTACGAGATGATATTCTTTACTATAGAAGGGAACTAGAAAACTGCCATGATTGTGATGATGATAAAAAGGGGAACCTCCTGGATATGGGTATTAAAGCTCTAAGGTTAGTACTCAGTACAACTTACTGAACAAGGGGATATGACTCTATTCAGCTGATATTTTATTCATGTATTCCTATTTTTTAACTAATGGGGCTAAATTTGGTCACATGGGTAACCATATTAAATGATCATGGCAATAATATCCAGATTATTCACTTTATCAGAATTACTGATTGTAGAGAAAAGAGAGAACCTTAGTAGCTTTTTTTTTTTTTTTTTTTTTTGCTACTAAGAATCTCAGTAGTTTGATGTACAATGATGTTGAACTATTTTACAATATCATGCTTGTATTACTTTTTCTCATAACTAAGAATCTCAATAGTTAGTTGTGGCAAGAGGGAGGTCGTGGTGAAAATAGTGGCTCTTTCTTTGATCATGGTGGTGGTGTTGGAGGTTGATTTTTAGGGGGAGGCCATGATAGAGGATGTAATAATGGTCCTCAGAAGTGCACTTATTGTGGAATGGAGGATCACATAGTTAATTTTTGTTATGATCTACATGGCCCACCTTCTATGTGGACCAATCATGCTATAGTGAGTAGTGATGAAACAAGTGGTAATCAATAGACTGATCAAATGCTCTTGGCTTCTATGGGTGCCACTATGAAGGAGATGGTGAGGATACCACATGATGAATATGAGAGGTTCGTTCAGGCTATATTAGAACACAATACTTCTACCCTTTCTGACTCAAGTATAGCTTGTTTGGCATCTAAAACCTCTTCCATATTCCATTGGATTATTGACTCTGGAGCTTCTGATCATATGACTAGGACTCCATGTGTTTTTCTTCTCTTTTTCAATTTCACTCTTCACAAATTATTCCTTCAGCCAATGGTTCATCCTCTTCTAATTGTAGTGTTAGCAATGTTGGTCTAGCATCTCTTTCCTTATCATTTGTTCCATATGTCTCTAATTTTCCCTTCAACCTTATGTGTTAGTAAACTAACTAAATCTCATAACTGCTCAATTACCTTTTATCCATCCTCTTGTATCTTTCAGGATCTCAAGACAGGGATGAAGATTAGTGGAGGGCATGAAGTAGGCTAATTGTATTATCTTAATATTGATGCTCAGAAGTAGCACTTCAATCCTTTCTTACACCTATCCAATGGCATTGCAGGCTTGGTCATCCATCTCTTCGAGCAGTTAAGCCTCTTGTTCCTTCATTGAGCCATCTCATCTTTGGAGTGTGAATCCTGTCAATATGGGAAACATCATCATGTTCCCTTTAGTCCTAGATTGTGTCCTACAATTATTACAAATACTTTTGTAATTTTTGTTGATGATTTTTCAAGAATGGCATGGCTTCATCTTATGAAAGAAAGAAGTGAATTGTTTTCCCTTTTTCAAAAACTTCATGTTGAAATTCATACTCAATTTGCTTTTCCAATCAAAATTCTATGATCCAACAATGGCAAAGAATATTTTCTTTTTGTTTCAACAACATTTAGAAAAACAAGGTATTATTCATCAAACTTATTTCCACAACAAAATGAGGTGGTTGAACAGAAGAATCATCATTTACTTGCTATGTTCTTCATCAAATGAATGTTCCCAAAGAGTTTTGGAGCAATTTTCTTACGGCATGTTTTCTTCCCATTTTCTTTAATGTTTCTCACTCTGTCTCCTTTTCCTTTGACTCCAAGGGTATTTGGTTGCATCTGTTTTGTTCATAATATGGGTCCCGGTTTGGATAAGTTAGATGCACGATCAACTAAATGCATCTTTCTTGGCTAATTTAGAACTCAAAAATGTATAAATGTTATAATCCTAATTCTCATTGATCTTTTGTGTATCCTGATGTTATTATGTTCTTTGAATCTACCACCTTCTTCACTAGTTCTGATATTTCTTCTTCTCTTCATATGTTTCCTTTTCCTAATCCTGTCGGTGATCCTATTCCTATTATCAGAAAGTCTCTAACTACACAAGTGAATACCAGTATTGGAAGGCCACCAACCACACAAGTGTATACACATAGACAAGCACCAGCTCCTCCACCAGTTGAATCTCCACTAACAAATCCAATTGTCGCTTCTACTCCAGTTTCACCTCCCATTTCTGACTTTGGCCTTTCCATAACTGTACATAAAGGTAATCATAGTTATACTCTTCATCTCATATCTAATTATATTTTTGTTTCTTGCCTTTCTTCTTCCTATTGTCAGTTTGTTTCCCTTTTGTTTTTTGTTTCTATTCCTAAGACTATCTGTTGAGTTACAAAGCTGGTTGCAGGGTTAGTTTGGTACTTTTGCTTGTATTTCTTTGTCATTTCTTGTGTTAGATATTGGGCCTTTTGTCTTGGGGGTAATAATGTAATTGCAACATTAATATAAAAAAGTCATTGGTGCGGCAGTTAAAGGTGAACAGTTCTGTTCGATCTCTACTTGCTTTTAGCCCTTGTTTTTCAACTTCTCTTCTTTTATACTACTTCACTCTGAACTAAATCTGGACTGTAACCAGGATTATTTAGACCTTATTTATTAATTTCTTGTCTGATCACCATGCTATCAGAACCTAAGTTGGTAAAGGGAAGGTTGCAAGATTGCCGGCATAGGGAGTCCCTAACCCCGTTTCTTTGTGTTTACCTTTTAGTCTGTGGGTCATTGTATACACCCCTCTAAGACTTGTGCAGGTACAACCAATGCCACTCCTCCCTTGAATACTCTAATGGACTGTGCTACAGCGCAAGTTTTTGAGAACCTTTCGGACAATAGCTTAGAACAAGAGAGAGCTAGAATCTGGTTCCTAATTCTGGAAAACCTTTTGGACCCGACCCTAGGAGTGGAGAATATTGAAAATAGAGTAAATCACCCTTTCACCCAACCAAAGTCAGTATCCTGAACCTTAATCCAGGAGGATGTTAGGAGGTTGAATCAGGAGGAGAAAGAAGAGTCAAAAGGAAACAGAAGACTGGGAAGGAAGAGTGAAGGAAGCAAGGTATATTTAAGGAAGAAAGGAAAGCAAAGAAGAAGAAAGCAAAGCGAGTTAGAGAAGCTTAAGTGCGGAATTAATTATGAGAGGAAGGAAGAGGGGAGCCTGAAAAGAAAAAGAGGAGAACAATAGGCAACCATTGATAAGGGGTTTCAAGCAGGTTGAAATGAAAATAGTCAGCTGGAATGTAAAAGGCTTTGGAAGTACCAAAAAGAGGAGAATAATCAGGAATACTCTCAGAAAAGAGAAGAAAAACAGCCTTTTGAGAAGAAAGAACTGTTCAGAAAGATGCAAAAGTTCAAAAGAAAGTAGCAGGAATCAGAATTCAAGAGGAGAGAAGAAGAAGAAGAAGAAGAAGAAGAAGGTGGCGGCAACTTGGGTTCAGAGAGAGATTTTCGAACATAATCTCTTCTCTTACGCCCTTAATTCTATTTTATTAAGTTAAACTTTGGTAATTTACAAAGAAGCCCCTAGTTGGGTAGAAAATAAAAAAGACATAACATAAGAAAGAATAAGCCCAGATTAAGGCACATTACAGCAAAGGACATAAAAGATATAAAAAGGATAAACAGCCTATGGGCCATTCGGCTCATCTTCTCTACACTCCCCCTCAAGCTGAGCATAGATGTCAATCATGCCAAGCTTGCCAGTATCATTCTGAAGTTTAGCCTTGGGAATGCCCTTGGTGAGGAAATCTGCTAACTGTCCTTCAGAGGTGATGAAAGGTAGACACACTTCTCCAGAAGCCACTCTTTCTCAAATGAAGTGTCTATCAACTTCAATATGCTTAGTTCTGTCATGTTGCATTGGGTTGTGAGCAATGTTGATGGCAGCCTGATTATCACAGTATAACATCATTAGCTTATCATGCTCAATACCCAGTTCCTCCATCAAGGATTTAAGCCACAATAGTTCAGAAACTCCATGAGCCATGGCTCTGTATTCTGATCCGGCTGAAGATCGAGCAACAACTGATTGTTTCTTGCTTCTCCAAGAGGCAATATTACTTGCCACCAAGCTACAATACCCAGAGGTAGATCTTTTGTCATCAATATTTCCAGCCCATTCAGCATCTGTGTAGGCTTCAAGTTTCATATGGTCATGCTTGGCAAATAGAATTCCCTTTCCAGGGGAGCCCTTCAAATAACACAGAATCCGCTCTGCTGCTGCCATATGAGTATCCCTGGGAGCATGCATGAACTGACTGATGCAACTGACAGCGTATGCAATGTCTGGTCGAGTCATGCATAGATAAAGAAGTTTTCCAAGTAGTCTCCGGAAGACTCCCTTATCTTCTAACAATATTCCATTTGAAGCATAGAGTTTATGGCTCATATCAATAGGAGTAGCAACTGGTCTAGCACCCATCTTCCTTGTTTTAGAGAGCAAATCAAGAACATACTTCCTCTGAGAGATAAGGATCCCATCCTCATCCTTGGATCTAGCAACTTCTATGCCAAGAAAGTATCTCAATTCTCCTAGATCTTTGATCTCAAACTCTATATGAAGGAAAGATTTGAGATCATTGATTCTTGAGACATCATTACCAGTCACAACAATATCATCAACATACACAATTAGGTAAACGGCCAAGGATCCTCTCCTCTTCACAAAGAGGGTATGATCAGACTGTGTCTATACATAGCCAAAGCTAACAAGGGCAGCCCTAAACCTTTCAAACCATGCTCTAGGGGACTGTTTGAGTCCATAAAGAGATTTCTTCAGCCTGCAGACCTTTCCTTTCATATCCTTTTCATACATCCCTAGAGGAAGGGACATATAGACCTCCTCATGTAATTCTCCATTCAGAAATGCATTCTTTACATCCAGTTGATAAAGTGGTCAGTTTGAGTGTGCAGCCAAAGATAGTAGAACTCTCATAGAAGTCATCTTGGCAATAGGGGCAAAGGTTTCCAGATAATCAATCCCATATGTCTGTGTATAGCCTTTTGCAACCAGCCTAGCCTTGTACATTTCAATGGTGCCATCAGCATGATATTTGATAGTAAAAACCCACTTACAGCCTACTGGATCCTTCCCTTCAGGCAAATCAACAACTTCTCAAGTGTCATTCTTGTGTAGGGCATCAATTTCTGTTCTCATAGCATCCCTCCATTCTGGAATATTAAGARCTTYTGACACAGACCTGGGAATTGGGTTAGAGGCAACAGAAGAAAGGTAGGCAAAATATGAAGGAGAGAGCAAACTATAAGAAATCTGTTTGGAAATGCAATGTGCAGTACACTTCCTTTTTCCTTTCCTAATAGCAGTGAGGATATCAAGGTCTGGGAAGGATGGCTCCAAAGGGGCTGTAACAGTACCTGTTGTCTCATATGTAACTGGAAGTGCATGAAGCTCATGTGTTGTAGGGGAAACAACCTGCTCATTTCTGGTTCTTTGCCGTTGATACAACTTGGGATTAAAAAGAGGGCGAGGAGGTAAAGGAGGAGGAATAAGAACACTGGAATGAGAGTGAGGTGACTGATCCTCCCTTGATTCATTTGAAGGAGGAAGAGACTCAGCAAAAGACTCAACTGGGATAGGAAGAGGAAGAGCAAACACCTGTGACAAATCCTCCCCCTTTGGACAATGTCTCTCCAGAGAAGAACCATAAAGGGAAGAAAGCTCATCAAAGGTGACATCCATTGAGACATACCGAGTACTAGTCTTCGGATCAAAACAACAGTAACCCTTTTGTGTGGGGAAATAACCAAGGAAGATACACTTGTGGGCATTTGGTTCAAATTTATGTCTTTGGACACTTGGGATATGTACATAACA